ATCCTGTTTGGTGTTTGTTGGACTTCCTGAACGGATATATTCTAATCTTTCATCATACTAGGAAAATTTCTTCCAACAAATCTTTGACAATTTTCTCTGTGGCTTTATTTTTCTCTTCCTGTTCTGGAATTCCAGTTACACATAGGTATGTGATGGTATCCCACATGAGCTTAGGCTTTCTTCATTTTGTTTTGATCTTTTTTCTGATTGATCCCTTTCCAAAGAAGTGTTCAGGTATTTGCCTTCAATCTCCCTAATTCTGTCTTCCATTGATTCAATTCTGCTCCTTTGCCCATTCAATGTCTTACCTATTTCTGAAAATTTAGCATTAATCTTCTGGATTTCTGCGTGTAGATTTTGTGTCATTTCTAATTTTTCATTTATTTTGTCATTTTTTTCTTGTATTGTCTTTTGAAGAAATTGTTTTAGGGTTTTCTCTGTGTTTTCCTTGATCTGTCTCTCAATTCGTTGAAGATACCTAAATGTAATTCTTTTGAATTCCTTACTAGGGAGTTCCAATGCTGCATCTTCCCCAGGGGTGTGTTTTGGGTCTGTATCCTGGTCCCTTGTTTTCCCTGCTTTATCTTGCTTCTTTGTGTGGTCTGTGATGCACTGCTGTCTCTGAGGCATTGTGACATTTTTGTGTTTATATTTAATTGGTGATTGTATGTTGGAGTGACTTGGCCTATGATTTTCATTTTCTTTTTATGTTATCTGTGCAAGCAGGGCACTGTACTGTGCTCCTCTGTTCACTAGTTGACAGCACTTATACACTCACCACCTGTCTCCTTTCCCATTATATGCCTCTTGTATGTCCCTGCCGACCTTGGCAAACAGAGCCTATTCTTAGGTCCCTGGAATCCGAAAGAATGCTATCACTTTGAAATCCAAAATGGTTGCCACTTGTAAACATTCAAAGTGTCTGCACCCTCCGTCACTTTAAATATCCAAAATGGCTGCCATTTATAAACATTCAAAATGGCTATACCCTCAGTCACTTTAAATATCCAAAATGGCTGCTGTGTGTAAACAATCAAATGGCTGCACCCTCCAGACAGCGGAAAGTCCACAGCTCAGGTTGTCTCCCTCCTTGCTGTTTCCCTTCCTAGTCATAGGCCACCAGTGCAGTCATCCCTGCAGCCCTTGGTGACCAGGGCTGATCTTCACGTCAATTCTCAGGTCCCAACACCACTTGGAAACATTCAGGCTGTTGGTCCCGTCAGAGTAGCTGATAGTCCGCAACTCCGACCGTGTCTGTACTCATTGTTTTTGTTCAGGTTTTTCCACTAGTTGGTGCCTAATTCATTTCTGTATAGTTTCTTTCAAAGCTCAGGGCTCCGGGATTGTCTTCTGTATCTCTGTCAGTTGATTTCTCTTCTTTGTTGAAGAGGGTCTCTGTCTCTTGTCTGCCTATTCCTTCATCTTACTGGAAGTCCTGTTTTCAGCTTCTTTTCTCCTTTCTTTTAACTTAGTTCATCCTCTAACATTTCACTGTTTTTGTCTTGTTTTAAACCCATTTTAGTTTTATCTACGGAAACGATAGGGATCCATTAGAATTCTAGAAGCATGGGGAATGGAAAGGAAGGAATGAGTGCGGGTTTATCAGTGCAGTGTTAAAGGAAATGGAGATTTCATGACTAAGGCTAAGATGCCTTTGCCAGTGACCCACCGAAAGTGCCCTGTGGTGATGCAGCAGCCCCTGGCCGCATTTCCTCTGTCTGAGGGACACCTGGGGACGTGTTCCTGGTTACTTATGTGATTCTCAAAGTCAGAGTTCCTGTGGATACAGCTAAAGATGCTCCGCCATTACCCCTATAGGCTGGACAGTGATTCTGGAATTTCTAGCTGTACTTGAGAAGGTAACACTTTATCAAAGCGAAAAACCCAAGAGCACCAGGTCCCTTGTAAGAAAGGCTCAGTGAACTGGGAATACAAGGAAAGCTCCTGGAAAGACTGTGAGCCCACACTTGTTAGCTTTTTGAAGCCAAGTTTGAGAAGAGAATGTGACAGCATTACTGTATGCCGAGCACACCATCTCCTTTCCCCTTGTTTACAACCAGCCTATCACTCTTTCCTTTCTGGAGACGAGGACTCACAGATTAAGTAACTTGCCCATGGTCGTACAACTAGTGACTGAACTGGGATTTTAAACCCATACTTATCTTTGCCACCTGTTCTCTGATTTTCTCTACTTCTCCACTGCTTTGCAGTCAGTGTACCCTATATGAAATTCTGTTAAGTAATGCTTGTTTGACTAAGTCTGTCTTTCCATGGAAACTTTTTAACCTTGAGTCCCCAACCTTTGGCCAAGCCCTTGTGGCTGTGTCATGCAAACGTGTTCTCTCTCATCTTGTGGTGGATGCAGGCTTCCTCTCCTCAGCCTACAGCCCTCTGCTCCCCCTGCCCTGCACTTCAGCCCTGTGAACGTGATCTGTGCATCCATTCTGTCTCCATGTGCTGCCCTGTTGCCTTCGCTGCCAGTATCCTGGTGGCCAGGATACTCCTGCATCCCTGGGGCCCATCTCTCAATGTCCTTGTGGCCAGGATGCTCCCGCACCTCCAGGGCCCATCTCTCAGTGTCTTGGCGGCCAGGACATCTCTGGCAGACTGCATAGTTAGACCGCAGGGCCCATCTCTCAAGTGGGGTTCTGGCCTGGTACGTTCAATCTTCTACGATGCTGGCACACCTTTCATAAGCAGGCAAAACACAGAAGCTGATAGGAGTTTATGAAGTAGAGCAGTGGACATAGACTAAAGCTGCTTACAGAAGTCCCATGGATTATTAAATGTGTTTGTTTTCATCACTTTGGGTCAGAATTTTGAGTTTGTTTTTCATTCTTGTGGGGGATGATTTGGGTCAGCTGCCTGAACAGCAAAGGCCAGTGTGTCTCAGATTGGCTGAGCTTGAGAATATGGGCTCATGATCAGTGACTCAGGGTGGGGTGCGTCTTCCAAAGTAACTCCACCCGCGTTCCTGAGCTGCTCAGACAGGGCCCAGTTAACCCTCCTCCATTCCATCAAGAACTGCCCATCATTGTTATATGTTACCCACATCTAGTCCCCAAAGATACTGAGTACAGACTTCTATTCAAGCTTATTTTGTCCCTGTATGTTCTGAATGGCTCCTGGTCAAGTTTAGCTAAACTCCAAGACTTTGAACAGTTTGGTTCTGTGGAATTACAAATTTTCTTTCTCATTGATTTTGAAGACCTACAATATTAAGATAACTCTATGCTGGTATTATATTTTTAGTCCCCTGCTTTCTGCATGAGAGAGTCTCT